ACATTAGCAGATAATGTGGTTCAAACCAAGATCCCAGACTACATTTGTCATCCTTTTATTGGTAGGAGACAAATGGGAGTCACTTTGCCGGAAACTCCTTGACTTTGACACAAGTGACTCTTGACTTGGAATGATCCCTCCAAAGCCTGAAGACTGGACATTTTGTTGTGAAGAAGTGTTTGAATTCACATTTGGTCAAACTAGCGATCCGGAGGTCAAGAAGACACACTCGAATGGTGAAGGATGATTGTTAGGATGAGGACGAATTCAAACTGCAAACAAATGTTTTTTTAATCCTCAAGGATGTGTTCCAGGAGGCATGTTGGGTGAAACCTGGAGCAACTGTCCTGAACAGTCGATGTTGTGAAGATTTGTGGAGGTTTCAGGTTCCCGTCACTGCTTAGACCTCCCGTTTAGTTCAGGTTTCTGAACATGTTTTAATTTGCAAGAGCAGCAAAGAAAGACGAGCCACAATCAGGAAGAGAAACCTCTGTAGGTAATAACTTCTCCCTCTCTGCATCACTCGGCGCTCGGTTTTTAATCTGTGCAGAGAATCACCGCTTCGGTCTTGTCTCGGCCGGATCAGGGCGGCTTGACGGACGAACGGGAGGGTTTGAATGCAAGGAAGTGGGTCGAGACGGTGGGAGAGCTGATAAGTCGTTTTTATTGGAGCGAGTCCACCTCCATCCGTACGGCGAGTCCGTTTAACTGCAGCAAGGATTAATCTCCATCTATACGAGTGAGTTGACAGAATACGTCAAACACAGTCTTGGATTAAGACGAAGACGCCACATGTGAAGGAGAAGCATCGCCTGACTGACTCATGTTTTTGTTTTTTTTTTTGCTTGTTTTGACTAATTTCATTTTTCTTTTTAGGCAAAAAGTCTTAACTTCATGATTTTGATATGAAATTTAACTGAATAAGACCAAATGACTCAACTCCCAAAACCCAACACAGCTTTTAAATGGTCATTCTATGCAAAATACTTACTGTAAATATGTTTTACAACTCATGCCTTGCTGCCGTTCTCGTGTCTTTGGCATTAAAATCAAATCATCCATTTTCTAGTCCTTATCCAGAGTCTGGTCATCGTGGCAGCAGGCTAATTTGGTTTGTCCAGACTTCCCTCCATCTTCTCAGCAATGTTCCTTTTGGGGGATCCCAAGGCGATACCCAGGCATTCCCAGAAAAGATGGAAAACCTCCAATCGTAGTCCCCCAGGAGGCATCCTGATCCAAATGTGTGAACCGAGTGGCTCCACTTACCGTGAAGGAGCAGTTTATCCTATGAGCCCAGAAGCCCCACAGAGGAAACCTGATTCGGTGTGGCTTTTTTTTAGTCACTACCCAGAGCTCATGGCCATATGTGACTGTTGTGATGTAGATCAACTTGTAAATGAAAAGCTTTGCCTTCCAGCTCAGCTCCTGCTTCACCACAGGAGTCTGCTGCTGATGCTGCACGAAAAGGCTTTGAGTTCAGGTGCTGTATGATTGTATTTGACACAGTCTGTGGACGTTTGCTATTCAAGCATTATTACATGTCTGTTTTTTTTTTGTTTGTTTTTTTTTTTATCAGTGTGATGCTCCTAAGACCAGTATTTTAACTGGGTATGTTCACCTCCACCATGAACTCATTAATCACTGATGTCTCAACAGAAATATAGAGATTTTCAAGTTTGCAGACGACCAGATAACTTTGATCGTGGCGGCAGATTTCTTTCTTTTGTTTGTATGCAGAGGTGGGTATAAAACCATGCGAGTGCTATTTAGATGTAAGAACCCCCTGACGTCACGGAAATACTCCTTAAAGAACATTTTAGAAGCAATGTTGTTGTTTTGGTTGCCATGTTGGCAGTGCTTTGCTTAGCCTAACCCCAAAAATGACCAAAGTGGTGGAGCTGAGGCGGGTCTCTTGGCCACATCCTTAATTATTGCATAACTTTAAACCTTAATACAATTTAAATGGATGAGTTCTAGAAAAAGTCACCCCCTGTACAGTTTTCATGAACGGGAAAAATAGCTGTAGAGACCAGAACTGTTTTTTGTACCGGGTTGTCACGTGATTATTTCTGATGTAAAGTTGGTTATTTTATCAAGGGAGTTTATGCAGATTGACTCATAACCTCAAGTGGCCATTTGAGGAACTGCAATTTTTTACGGTTCCATGTTGACTTCATTTTTCAGCTCCGGAAGTTGAGCCTTAAAGCTGTTCTACCTGCCCGTCGCCCAGCTGGCATTGCACCTGGCCCAATGAGACCCAGGGGTAGACCCAGATAACATATCTCATCTGGCCTGGGAACACCTTGGGATTCCCCCAGGAAGAGCTGGAAAACGTTGATGGATGGTGATTTATCAAAACAAGACTGGAATCCATCCAGTAGTAACTTAACTTAAAGCCACAAACTGTCAACCTAATTGTGCGTCCAGTAGGAGCAGCTGCATCATTTGGAGACTGTGAATTAACTCAATATTGTTCCAATCCATGCAGTCAAAAAAAAATATTGAAACTGATGTTAGCACGTAGCCAACATAGCTGTGACACACCTGTGCAGCCAGGTGACAAAATACAAGTATGATCTGATAATGGCCCTATGTAGAAAATTAATTCATTAGAGTCAGAGGGTTCCACACACACTGTCCCAACATTCTGTGGCGATTCATCCGATTGTTGTTGAGACGATTCATTGTGGACCAACACTACGATTGTGTTATTAAAGGATCACACTGTAAACCCAATTTAGCACCGGGAGTTCAGAGATGCTGCAGTCAGTGGGAGGAGAGTGAGATCAAGGGAGGACACAAGAGGATAATAGCATTTAAAACTTTAAGCACCCAGATCATCTCAGTCGGCAGCATTAGACGGCCGGAGTCGCGTCCTCCCTCATCACAGCTGCTTGCACCGAGTCCGAACAGTATTTATGGGAACATGATTTCTTCCTCAACGTGTGCGATCGAGGTGTACAAGATGCCAGCAGAGTGTACGACACATTGATGGTGTTAAAGGATGTTTCACCCTGCCGTTTAATTTTTTTTGTTGTTGTTTGAGTGCGAACACTTTGAGCATGTTGACCCACCTCAGAACTCGTAGCAGGAGCTTGTTCTCCAGCTACAAACCGGGCAGCCGGACTCAAGCTGCCAAAGAACTGGCCGAACACCTGGAGCTATACAACACCTTCATTAAGCCATGGAACTCCATGCAGGTGAGATTTGTTTATGGTTTGTGTGATATTTTTTATATTTCTTGTAGTTTTTCTGCAGGTTTCTTTGCTTTCAACTGTAAAAATCTTGGTCAAATTAAATGTAGTTGAACAAATTAGACAAACTAAAAACAGATTTTTGGCATTGTTGGGCGAAAATTGCACATTAACCTTTCAGCATATTATAATTTCAGTAATCTGAGGAGAAAGTAGCCTTGTGCACCTCCTCCTGGCTCAGTTTTCTGGCTTTAGAAGGACCAATGGCAGCCAAATGTGTTTGCCATAATCAGAATCTTAAATGCTTTAATTAAATATGGGATAAAGGATATTGTTGCATTCTCTTTGATCGCAGAATTTTATGTAGTTTGCTTGTTGTTCTCTTTTGTAATTCATACCCAGTATCCACGTCTTCTATTCTTCAGTCATGTCTATATGCTGTTTATTGACATCATGTAAAAGCAGGAAGTTTGTTTTACTTGTGAAGGACCTGGGCAGAGACATCTACGATCTCTACGCCGAGTACGAACACGAGGAGGTGGAGGATCGACTGCCGGTGTCTCCGTCCCGCCTGCTGCTGTCCCCAACCAAACACTTCACCCTCAACATCAACGTCGGAGGAACGGTAACTTTACTGAGCTTCTAAGAAAAAAAAAAACACTGCTCGAGTGCTGCTATATTATTAGAAAGGTTTTAAAAAAAGCAACAGCAACATATGTTTAGATCTGCAAATGTCGATATGTGGATGTCGCCACCTACAGACTGGTGAATTTGGTGAAATATGATTGGTAACTTGTGGTCGAACCTTACAAATGTATGGACATTCATACTGGATTAAGACACAGACCAACTCTGCAAGTATTACATTTTACTCCAAGTCCTCAGGTAACATTAGTTTTGTGTGAATAGGACTAAAAACACTGAGAATACAAGAAAAGTAGCCTGAGAACATAAAAACACATCATAGAACGAAGATCATAGACACAACCAGAGATCCTAAAAACAATCCAAACAGAAAAGTTATGTAAACAGAAACCAATAATGAAACACAACTACATATTAAACATTTGTGGGAACCTTCTGATGAACAAAAGTTGTGAGGAGATATGAGAATTTAAAGATGTTCTCAACATTCAGACGGTTTCACAGTTAGGGTTCTTTCTCCTCAAAGGCCTCATAACCTTCGTTCACCAGACAAGACTTGGAAATAACAAGCACAGTTCCATTTGCCAACCTCAGATAAGGACATGAGGGGTTCCTAGGTGTGTAATGTAATTAGAAGCAAGGCTATTTCAAGTCCTAAATGAAGGTAGAATTTTGAAATCAATGCAGAATTACAGATGTAGCCAGTGTGAGGTGGGGAGCATTGGAGTCAAAGAATCGTATTTATTCGATTTGCACCTGTTGGAGTTGCTGCAGGAAGCTTTGACTGATCCTAAAGTCTGTCGCAGTTATCAAGGTGGGAAAAGATAATTGCATGTATAACCTTTAAATCAGTCTCAGACAGAAATGACTGAAGTTGGATGACAAGGGGGCAACATCAGATTTCTTGCAGATTGCTCAGTGTTTTTGGTCAGCTTACTGTGAAGCAGGTTGCTGGGAATATTGAAACCAGTGATTAAAACATCAGACTTTATTGTCATTGAAGCATTTCTATCACTGATAGATTATCAAGACTAATGGTTTAAAGACGAACATAGAAGTGTGTGTCATCTGCATAGAAAGGGTGGAAGACATTAATCTGGCCAAGAGGAAGCCTGTATATTGACAATGGCAGTAGTGCAAGGACTAATTTTGATTTCCACAGATGTTAAAGTGGACAACAGAGGAACAAGAACTGTAATTTAACTTCTAGGATTCATTCAGAAACTGCATGTCACACCTGATTTCTTCTTTTTAAAGCAAAAAGTACCAGATGGATTTTATTGTAAATTACATACTTATTGCTCAAAACTACCAACATGAAGACGCTACCTCTGGCTCTGAGAAATTGTGATGGATATTTTTCAGTTTTTAATGTTTTGTTAACTATAAAATGATTAATAGAATGATCAACAAGTTAATAGACGGTTGAACTGGTGGCTCGGGCTGGTTGGTGACGAGATTTTCGAAACTTCAGCTGATAAATGTGACATGTTCTTCACTCAAAACATGTTCTGTTTTTATTTAATCTCTTCTGTTGTGGGTTTCTCCAGGTGTACCACCTGCCCTACAGGTTAGCCGCCAGATATCCTAAGACGAGGATCGGCCGTTTGGCGACGTACACGGACCACAACCGGAAGCTGGACCTCTGTGACGACTACGTTGTCCACAGCAACGAGTTCTTCTTCGACCGGGACCCACAAGTCTTTCACAACATCTTCAACTTCTACATGTGAGACAAAACACAGAATAAAATGAGTTTCTATGTCTTCTTATGACCTCCTGAATAAATCCCGTTTGTGTCCGTCCTCTCCATCAGGACTGGAGTGTTGTGGATTAAAGACGAGCTGTGTCCTCGTAGCTTCCTGGAGGAGATCAACTACTGGGGCGTCAGAATCAAAAACAGCCATCGCTGCTGCCGCATCTCCTTTGAAGAGAGGCAGGACGAGCTGAACGACCAGTTGAAGATACAGCAGCAGCTGTTGGCAGAAGTTTGTGTAAGTTTGCAATTTAAATGCATCTAATACTTTACCTCTAGCGTCTATAAGAAGTATTCACCCCTCTTAGAAGTTTCCCCTTTTATTGCTTTTCAACATTGAGTCATTGTCAACATAATCCAGCTTTTTCTGACAAGAATTTCCACAAAAAAAGACCCTTTCATCTCAAAATAAAAACAGATTTCAACAAAGTAATGCCAATTAATTAAACATGTAAAATAGGTGATTGCATAAATGTTTACCCCTTTTAAAGTGACTCACCTAATGCAGCACAGGTGCAGCCACTTCACAGCACAATTAGAGAAACACTGTGCGACACAATTTTCTCCTAAATTAGTGCCGCTGATTTAAATACTTCAGATCATTTGGTTTGTATTCTTCAAGTTCTAGAGCTTTCAGATAAACGCAGTGAATGTCAAAGGACTTGTGGTGGTCACCGCGTTGAAAACATGAGAGTTATATAATTCTACAATGAATTAGTCACTGAGGACTAATTAGTTCACCACCAGCTCCTCTCCATGTATAAAACGTTAAGAAATCCCTTCGACTGCTTCGTCTGTGGAGTAGTTAATGCTGTTTCTTTATATATATGTCTACCTGAGACTTTGCCAGTAATCTGCTGCTGACTCTTGGTCTCTCTGACCTACATTATAAATCTCTGCTTCACCCTCTTGACAGATGGGCCGAGCAGAATAAGCTTTTTCTTGGCACAGATTTAGACAGATGTTTCCATCACAGTACCAGTTGTGTGTTTTCTTGGCATGTGGTTTTTAATTCAGTCGTGTTGCAACTTTGAGTTCTTGAGATTTTATTTACTTTGGTCTCCTGCATCATGTTCCATTTTCAATAAGTGTTTTGTTTCTGGTTTGTCGTCACACCTGTGCATGTCTGCCCTCCAGGTGGAGATGGAGGAGAACGAGGCATCATTTCACGGCATGGCCTTCGGGCCGATCCGCAGGAGGATCTGGAACCTGATGGAGAAGCCGTTCTCCTCGATCACCGCCAAGCTGACGGCGGTCGCCTCGTCCTTCTTCGTGCTGGTGTCTCTGGTCGCCATGACGCTCAACACCGTGGAGGAGATGCAGTACAAGGTGGGTTTTTATTGGCTTCCCATGAAACTCATGCTTTGGAAAACACTCATTTAAGCTAAAACATGTGAACCCCTGCATTCAATGGAGCTTTATTGTGACAGAACTGAGTCCGTTTAGTAATAGTTCAACTTGTTAATCAAGTTTTTTTTGTTTAATATTTAGTACCTGTCAATAACGAGTCCAAATCTGATACCATTTTCTTAAATTATGCACACTTGAAGTATATTAAAGTTATTAAAATCAATGTGTTTGAAGCTCTGCAATGCATTCAGAAACACTTTCAAGTCTGCATCTAAGCTGTTCTTTCATGTTGGTGGTCACAAACCTTGTTGTAAAGCTCCAGTGGGGCACTGTTTGAAATGGAAAGAGTAGATTGTACCATCGTTTACAAGCGTGACAGAAAACAGGATAAGAAAAGATTAAACCACATTAATCCCGAAGGACATTTTTGTGCCATATATTGCTTGGAAAAAACAAAATGATGGGACATAAGAAATGCAGGGTCTAAAAAGTAGACAAGCAATAAGGTGCAAGTACGATGCATTACTTAAATTAGTACGCTAAAATACGACTGGAATAGAAAAGTAAAAAGTAATGCTGGCAGTTATACTGACGCAATAAGTAATATTACACATGAAAATGAAATGTTACGCTTGATACTGAAACTAATGTTGCACAAGCTATTGAGAAAAGTGAAATTGCAAATGATATTGATAGTATTGATTTTAGTGTCTGATATTTTAGCGATCACGTATTGTAGATCAGCTGTAGTACCTGGTTGTTCCACCAGGTGGAGCCTTTTACTTTTTAACACTGAAGCAACCTCGTTTTGGCAGGCAGAGAGTATAGCGAGCAAGGGACACCACGACAAAGACTTCTGTGACGCATAATTGGTCCACTGACTAGAATAGACACAAAATAAATGTCCTTTGTACTCAGTTTGTTTTATCAGTCTATCAGTTATTGATTTTAAATAATTCACACTTTCCACACTTTTACAGACATAAACAGAATCAGGAATGAGTTTATGCCGATACCAATCAGTGTAAAAAATGCCCTGATCAGCCTTACTAAAGAGTGAATCCTTGACAAATACTCAAAATCCGTATTTCTGCGTCTCGTCTGTCCTAGACACCATCCGGCGAGCTCAGCGGCAGATTCTACGGCGAGAACGTCGAGGCGTTCTGCATCACCTTCTTCACCCTGGAGTACCTGCTGCGCCTGGCCTCCACCCCCGACATCAAGTGCTTTGGACGCAGCGTCCTGAACACAGTCGACCTGGTCGCCATCCTGCCCCACTACCTGCAGATAGTCCTGGAGTGCTTCGAGGACGAGGACGTCCGACCGCACTCCGGGGACATCGAGACCGTGGCTCGTGTCGGAAAGGTAAAGACGTCTCGGTAAAGATAACTCCAGATATGTATCACCTTCACCCATATTTAGTGGTTCTTCTTTGTTTCCGGTCTGTAGGTGGGGCAGGTTCTGAGGATCATGCGTCTGATGAGAATCTTCAGGATCTTGAAGCTGGCTCGTCACTCGACAGGCCTCAGAGCGTTCGGCTTCACCCTGAGACAGTGCTACCAGCAGGTCAGCACCCGCAGCTTGTGTTAAAATTTTAAGCTAAGATTTGACAATCTTTCTGACCATATTTAGTTTGAGGACTGAGAAGCAGAATAATGTGTGTTTTGGATGTTTTGCTGCAATGCTACTGTATGGATGTCTTGTCAACCCATGAGGGTCGGGCACACTTCTGTGCATGATACTTGAGTCATTCCACCTTAAGTCACCAAATTCTTTTAAAAGTACACACCTGACTGTCTCGTTTTTGTCAGATTTATTTATTTTTCCAAGTTATTCAGTAAAGCGTTTGTAAAATCTTTGGTCACATGTTGAATTTCAGGACAGTTAGTGAACTAAGGCAGAATGACTGGTCCCAGTGATAAGCTGATGGACTGTTTGTGGGTTTAAAATGCTGTAAAACGTCTACAGGTGGGCTGTTTGCTGCTCTTCATCTGCATGGGCATCTTCATGTTCTCCGCCATGGTCTACACAGTGGAGCACGACGTCTACAACACCAACTTCACCTCCATGCCGCATGCGTGGTGGTGGGCCGCTGTGAGTCCACGTGAACACTCACCCCAACAAAAGCAACCTGATTTAGTAAATCACAAGCTTTAACACGGCCACTAGCTGCTGTGATCTTTCTGCTGAAGAGATTCAGTCACTCTACAAAGCTGCCAGACGAACACTGTTTTAACAAAGCAGACAATCAAAAAAAAAACGTTTTCCTTCATGCCCACAACAACTGTGATCTGGTTTATTGCTGCAGACAATCACACAGTTTGTACTCGCTGAAGTATTTAAAGATGAGCTGTTCTCCACAAAGCAAAAAGCAAAGATGAGAATTGTCTTGTTTGGTACATTTTTGACGAAACAAACCCTCAGCTCAGAATGTTGTTTGTTAAGTACTGACAATAAAAACCACTCTTGTCGGATTCAGCTGTAAGACAATGATTAGAAAAAAACATGGCGGCTATCAGGGAGATGAAATTACGAACGCTGGATTTCAGTGTTTTGTGAAAAGATGATCAGAATCCATCAAGTGATTGGACTCCGCTACCAAAAATAAAAGCTATTTATTACGGGAATTAAACTCACTGAACGACTATTAGTTGATCAGTCAGTTTTTTTATGTCTTTATCCTGCAATGTGTGGTTTAGATAAACGTCATTTTACCCTTAAACAAAGTCCCAGAACCATTATCAGAACCATAAGTCCATGTCTGAGTAAGGTTAATATCTGTTTCTGTCTCATTTCTGCGTTTAAATCTCTATACTTGGTGTTTTCTTGCTTCCTGTGTCTCTTGTTCCTTCAGGTGAGCATTTCCACGGTGGGCTACGGCGACATGTTCCCCGAGACCAACCTCGGCCGCGTCTTCGCCTTCGTCTGCATCTCCTTCGGCGTCATCCTCAACGGCATGCCCATCTCCGTCCTCTACAACAAGTTCTCCGACTACTACACCAAGCTCAAGGCCCACGAGTACACTACCGTCATCAAGGCCCGCGGCAAGGTGCACTTCACCCGGAGGGCGGCCAGGAAGTTTGCCAACTACTGCGACCGCGTCGTTCAGCCGAAGCCGTGACGAGGCGGTTTGGATCGGAGGGCTGCAGCGAGACGGCACGTTGGTAATGATTCAAACTGGAATCGACGGTTTGTTTGGAATCAACACAAACAGCAGATCAGTGGTAACATGTTTTCTACCTGATGAGTTGGTGGGACAAATTTCGGGAGGTGTCTACAACCCTGGAACTTTTTTAAAAAACGGAAATCTGCCACTTCACATCGTCATCATTCAACTATGAGGAGGAAAAACAGGAGCCATGCGTTCTGCTTTTCACCGTCTCTCATTTTTCACTAAGTTATTTGTGCCACTTTTTGAGAAACTGTCTGAAACTGTTTCCCGTAATTCGTCTTTTTAGAGCAACTACAAACTTTGGTTTCTGACGGTTGACGAAGACAATCGGCAATCACGTCTTGAGAACTCCTCGGCCCTAACGGAACAGGAAATGAATGCGACCTTCTGTGCAGTGGTAACTTTACCCTTTTACATCTACAACTAGACGTATCAGGACCGTACGAGGGTCGATCAAAAAGTTTCAGGACTGTTTAAGATCCAACGTGTGCAAACAGAAACTGTCCTCATGTTTTTGTGACCACTGGTAGGTGCACATCTGCACTTTCTCTGTGGACCTGGATGGGTCTGCGGCTACCACCAAGAGAAGAAACAGCAGTTGTTGTCGTACGTCGTTTTCGTCAACAGGATTCAATCTCCCAGAACTGGACTGTGAGCACACTATCACGTCTTGAAGAACATTCAGAACAAACAACCTGAACTGTGGCGTCTGGTCGTATCACAACTACGTACAGATGTTTGTGGCCAGATTTAGCTCCCTGTGACTTTCTCCCAAAATAAAATTCAAGTCGAAGGTTCGCCATTTGGACACAGTTGAAGAGATTCAGTTATCGCATGTGGTGCTTGAAAACTTTCCGATTACCCATCCAACAGTTCCTGAGTTAATTTTATTACGCATCCTTTCATCCATCCGTTCATTGTTTATTCCTTCACCAATGAAAGTCAAGTTGTTCAACTTGTTAACATCCACGTGGTGTTTTTTTTTGTAAATATGTCTCACAGCATGGACTCAAACTGGAAAACACCTGAACCAGTGGTGTTAGTTTGGAGTTGATTCTTATTTTTTTTAAATCTACACTCGTGTATATTAAACCTTCCCTCTTCCCTTCCTCCTCCATCCACCCTCTGCTCATCATCTAAAGCTCACATGTAATCCAGGATTCAGGAGCGAACAACAGAAATAAATCCACATCTGGACGGCGGATGCGAGGCCTTTGTATCTGTCTTCGTAAAGCTGTGCAGCTGTCTGACGGAGTGTTTGCGTAAACACAATTACAATCTTCACCGCTGAATAGTTCAGGAGTCGCACAGCGATGAGAGGAACTAAATTGAGATCGTGATTCTCTTGAGCTGCCAAATGAATCTGCTTCATTCAGATTTATTATGGTTTTACTTATTTAAACTTTGTCACAGAAATGCAAAAATAAAATCGATTCGATGGAGCTGATTAACAGAAAACGTATGTATCGATTATAATTGAAGCTTTTTATTGAGTTTAATTTTTTTAAAAAGACGCACAGTTTAGTCCTCACAATAATCTTTAGTTGTTTTTCAGTTCATCACAACATACAAAATATAACAAAACAATCTGAAGCAGAAGATCTCGAGTCCTGATTGAAGGATCAGTTTGCCCAAATTAGCAACAACTCTTAAGGACAACTTCTGGGTTTGGATCTTATTCGTCCATCTGTGTCTGGATAAATAATCCAGAGTTAAACCGAGGTGGAAACAGAAACCGCTGCAGGACGGTGATGTGTTTTCACGGTTTCTGAACGATACATTTTCAAATAGTTTTTTTTTTACCTCAACTGCAGAGAGTCCAGGATTTATCTTGTCGTATCAGTTTCTCTACAATAAAAGCTGTTTTTTCAGTCAGTTCTAAGCTACAGCTAATGAATTTGAACACTTTTTGCAGATGATTTGTAACTTTTCAGTGGTTTAACGCCCACATTTCATCTGCTGTGTTCAGAATCAGGAGCTTAATCGTGGCTGAAGAAGCAGATTTTATGTGTCTTGTCTTCTAAAGCAGAACATCTGTGTGTTTTAACCAGTCTTCCCGCAGCGTCACTTGCTCCTCAAAGCACTTTTTAATTATTCACATATTCCAAACAAATCCATTTTCCCCACCAGAGGCTGAAATCACACAAACGGGACTCGGAGTCGTTTCCACGTCCAGAAATCCATCCTGCTTCAGTCCTTCGCTGTTCGGTCGGTTGTTTCCTCCAAAAACGAAGCGTGTAACGCCGGCAGTCTGTTTGGGAATCAGAAGTCTCTACTTGTTCAGGTTCTCCAGCAGGATCTCCACTCCTTTGTTGTTGCTGACGGCGCTGAGCTCCGACGTGATGGACTTCAGCGCCGCCTTCACGTCTGCAGATACAGACTTGTCGCAGCTGTTCAGGAGGCTGAAGACGGGAAGAAACACACAGTTTGTAAAAAAAAGGAGGATTCGCTTGTGACTGAATATCCAGTTTGGTTTGCAAATAACTGATGACTTAAAGGTTTGACTTGGTGGAAGGACAGTTTATCTGAGATTCTGCAGAACCTGGATAAATACACACAGATGTGAAGGGATGGTTTTTATGATTTGGGTGAACAGAACCTTGAACTAACAGCGTAGCATTTAGTCATTAGATTCTTGTATGTCAATGTTTGGGGACAAAATGCAAGTGTTGATTCACTGGTTTGAGATCAAGACTTGTATTTTCTTACAAGATGTTGAATTTGTTGCCATGCAGGCTCCACATGTGCTCTGAAAAAAGGATTTGGTTGCAAAAAAAAGGAAGAAATGCACCATGAGTTGTATAGAAATATTTGAGCTACACACAGAATGATGTTGAATGAAAACAGTTTTTTGTTGGGGTTTTTTTTTTCCAGAAAAACTATCTTGGATGAATTTGACTTTTTTTTTTTTAATGCAGATTTACTTTCTAACAATATCGAGAGTTATTAATACGTTCAAGTCATTTAGTAAAAACTCCTGTAATTTGTCGTATCGTTATAAATCCTGCAGAAAAACTAAATACGTCATTTTTTTACAACATCGTGCAGCAATAACTCCTGATACGTTGAGTTTTGTGACACAAACATGATCCTCAGTTTCAGAAATCACTGCTTAAGTTTTATTTAGCTGCAAAATGGAATTTAAGGAGAAGAAAAATTCTGAGCTTCTGATTTTTATCTTGTTTTTATCACGTTGAAGTATTCGGTTCCCACATTTATTCCTTTTTAATGCTTCATGTCGGGTTGTTCTACTTTAGGAGAATTATTTTCCCAACTCTCCTTCCTTCAGTCCGACCTGTTTGCATCGCTGCAGGGTTTAACTTGGTTTAAGCTTTTACAGCCAGTAGTGATGGTGAGTCACTGGATTTCCCTCCTGAATGATAAAACACGACCATTGTTGTTCACATTGACTGACCTGCAGAGCACCATGGCTCCTCTGTTCACTCTGACCCACGTCTTCATCTTCTCCGTCCCCACAGTGTCCACCAGGATCCTGCCAAAGCGCTCTGACGGGACCAAAGGAGTCGATGTTAACGGGCAGAATGTCATCGTAAATCATCAGATTTATTTTTTAAAACAGTTTCTGCTCCACCAGCTCTGATTTACCTGAAAATTTCATAGTATAAATTATGGACATTTATAAAGATATCAGTGAAGTTTTAGCTTCAAATATCAAATATGTTCCAAGATTTTATTATTATTTTGATGACCCACTTTCAGCAGGTTTTTCTCACATTGAAATTTGAGGTTCAGAACCGATTAAAGATAAAAACCTGAATCTTTACTGTTATTTCTCAACATTTTATTGATTCAGAATCTGTAATGTTGGACAAGTTGATCAAATAATGTGACGTAAGTTGAAGTCATCATAAAAAGTTAAATCTGAGCTCATATTAGCAAAAATAATCATAATTCATTAGTGAACTTGTGATATTTTCTGAACCACATGTAGCTGCAGGTCACAATGATAGAAAAAATAGTTTTAAAATGAAATATCTGATCAGGAAAAGTTATTTTAGTTGAACTTTCATAACTGATCGGTACAAGTTCAACCACAAAAGCTCAAATATTGGTCCGTAGTCTAAAGTAGTTACCAAAGAAATGACACAAAGCTACATCACTAGTCTCCAACAAGCCAACGTTTATGCCCACAGTGGGGTCAGAAAATGATAAATACGCCCTCATTAAAACAGAAAACAACATCCTGGTTATATTCTGAGAACCACTTTGAGTCTCTGTTCACCTTCGTCTGACATTATCTTGGACGATATTTAAAATATGAAGCTAAGACTTCACAGAAACTTTAATAAATATCCGTAGTTTGGGCTAAAAAACTTTCAAGCAAATCAGAGATGTCTGAGCAGAAGGACGCTGATGATTCGAGATGGAACGATGATGTTTATGTTTTACCTTCTTTTCCAGCCTCTGCCAGCGTGACGTCCTGCTCGATGAGCCACTTCAGCACCAGGTGTCCTGCTGGATGCTCAGCCATGTGAAGCTGCAGCACAAACAGCAGATCAGCGGTAACATGTTTAGTCAGTTCCCTTCTTTTGACTATTTAATATATAAACAAAACAGAAAGCCAGACGGGTGTTTGTTCAGGTTGAGCTTCTACTTCTGTGATGAAATATAAAAAGCAGAACCATCCACCGACCTGTCCGCCGATGCCTCCCGGCACCAGCTCCTGATTGGCCAGCTGGGCCACGGCCGTCATGGCGGGTCGCAGGTCTCCGCAGGCCGACGCCAGGATGTCGCTGATGGTGACGCTGGTGGCTTTGTCCATCGCCATGGTGGCGGCATTGTCACGGAGATGCTCCAGCAGCGGAGGAGAGACGACCTCCAGCAGCTCCTTCCTCCGAACCGCCACGTCTTTTTTACTGAGCAGAGACACAAACGAGGCCTCAAAGCTTCTGCATCTTTATATTATTTATATCAATTTACCGAATCGGTTTCCTTCATTTGTGCAGATGTCGGACAAATAAGAACGGAAACAATCCACGAAAAGACAAAGTAATGAAGTAACTGACTGAATCAAGTCAAAGTTGGCTTCGTAAACATAAAGAATAATTTATGAAAATTCTCTAAAGGTGTGTTGAAAATCAGATCTGTGGCTGTTGCTGACATCTGCTGGTCAGAAACAGGAATTACAGCACAAACAGTGGAGCTGATCAGTTATTTGTTCACAAATGAAAGTATTTTCAGGGAAAAATAACACAAATAAAACTGTTTCTATGAGGAACAGAATGTTGTAGGAATCATTTCTGACCTGTAAAGATAAAAACGCAGTTTCTACATATTTAATTTAAACTCAGTTACATCCACAATCTTTTTATTTTGCAGGAATAAGATGGAAAATGTCAGGAAATAACATCATCAAAATTTCACCTAAACTAGAAAAAATGTCTGTAAAAACCAGCTATGTTAACTTGGGTTTTATTTACTAAAGTATAACAGACTTTTGTTCAATCAAATGCTTTAGAAATAACAGAAAAATGCTAAGATTTCTGTCAAACAAGCCGACACAGACTTCCATCCTGAGCTACAACTGATTAAACCACTATTTCCTGGTTTCTGAAATTTAGAAAAATGCTCCAACATCCTAAAAACTGAATATCTTTTGAGAACAAAGAAAAGGTATGTCTAGAAATAAAATCATCCTGATAAAAGCTAACCAGCCAAACACAGCCGATTAAAGCACATTTACGTGTATAAAATACATAAATGTGAATATTTAACAATTAACGTCTAAATAAAACTTGTGCAAATGGACAAGAAGGCTGAAGAAGAATCGAGGAAACACTTTATTTAGTTCCTTTAGTTTTCCTGCAACATTTAGATCGTAAACACAGAAAGCAGCATGTAAAGTTTGCTGCTTCATGCCAGATTTTTGATTAATAATCTTTAAAAAATGCCTCATAATAAGGTTTAATCAAGGTAATACTCTTAACTGTTTGACTTTTTTTAAGGCAGATAATCATTTATATATTTCACACAAGCTCTTGATGTCAGCGACTGTGACTCTTTTATTTTGACAGCGGCAGGAAGTTACCTGTGAGCGTTCCCGTCTCCTTGCTCCAGCACCTTGATGATCTCGGGCAGCAGGTGAGCCGGATCTCTGGGACTCAGCAGGTACAGCAGAACCTTCTTGCCGTATTTATTCCCGATAACCTCGTCCAGAGACGCCAAGATCTCCTGAACGGGACGACGGACGAGAGACGATTAATTAAACCTGCTCTGATATAAACATATCCGTTTGTTTTTTCAGCGTGGGACTCACTGAGAGGACGGCCTGCTTGACCAGCTTGGTGTCGTCCACGCAGTCGAACATGGCCAGAAGAACCAGGTGACCGAACTCCCCCTTTAACACCAGAACAACACGTCAGTTCAGCCGCCATCGGCTACAAACAGGAAGTAGTTCTCAATGCAGACACAATAAAACGCACAACGTTCACAGTTACTAACAGAGTTCCTGTTATTTAGTGAAACTAAGCAGTGATCCTGTCGGTGCATTCACACAAGAATAAATAAAAAATAACACATGTATCTATGAAAACAGCAGAGGAGCTTGTTCTTTTTAAGGTGGCTTATGTGGTGTGTTAGGAATTAGAAAACCAGTCACTGATGTTAAACACAAATGTAAAAACACGACTTGAAGTTGTGCAAAATATTCCAAACAAGGTGCAGCTGGAAGTTAACATGTAGATATTATTTCATCTATAGAGTCACAGAGGACACATGTGGAGGATTTTAACTTTTAAACATCGTCAGTCCACCTTAAAAACAAGTTCTTTTACAGGAATAATCATGTTTCCCGATAAATTTTCGGATTTGATCAGAACTGGATTATGATGATGTCTTATACATGCATGAAGCATTAATTTTGACCACGTACCATCTCCTCAACGCTGTATTTTAACATCAAACACACTATAATGAAGCTACAGATGCTTTTATTGAGTCTTTCACTTCCTGTGCTCCTGCTGAACAATCTAAAGCTCTTTATTTCATCCTTACAGGCAACTCAGATGTTTTAATTTCCTCTTATTTTACTTCCAGTTGATTAATTTGTTTTTTAAATACAAATCCTCTCATTAATGCATTTATTATTTGACTCACTTTGCTTTTTAAGGCTCAGGTTGAATAAAAGAACCTTTGAAATGAAGTGTTCTCGTCTAAACGTCCTCCAGTAACTCTGGTAAATATTCATCCTTATTTTAAACCACCTTCTCTTTTCTAAACTCCACTGAGGTGACGACGTACAAACTGTTCTGTTAATGAACGAAGCTTTGTTGTGAACTCACCGTGGCGAACTTCACCATGTACGTCTTCATGGTCTTGATGATGACTTTTCTGTCCTGAAAGGGGAAAAACAAACAAACATTTAACAGACTTCTACTTCCCTACCATGAGCTGCTTTCACCAGCAGCAAATAATAATGATAATAATGTAGAAGACGTGTTAATATTTAATCCCTAAAACACTCAAAGCAGCTTCATGATTGTGTCTGAACTCAGTGTTGCTGCTTTTATTCAACCTGAAGCACCACAATGGAACCAAACACTGTAAACATGCAGCTTTTACTTTAATCTGATTAATAATATATTCGTTTGGCTTTCATTTTTGATTCAAATAAACAAGCTAGAAGCCAGTTTGTTCCTGAGAATCCCCCCAGAAATAAAATACTATAAGAAACAATCACCATAAAAAAATATGAACTGATTTCCTCTCCAGACGTTTTTAGTTTTGTCGTCTTAAACGTGCACATTGTGTAAAATGAACATCGTCGCTTTGATTTAACATAAACTGCAGCTTTTATTTGAAATTTATGCACTTTAGAATTTAAAATATTCGTTTTAAATTGTACTTCCTTTTCAGTAACTTCAAGTAAAACATTCTTTTTGTTTTATTTAAACGTCTCAACACTTCAGCACCAAATCCTGCCTGCCTCAAAAAAAAAAAAACTTAAATGATCAAAAAATATTTGATTTTTTTCAGCCAAATACACGTCAGAGCTCCTCAGATCTTTTTCTTTTCTCAGATGCATGTATTATATAATAGAACATTTAATCTGATGCTCATATTGTCGTCGAGGACTCTGTTTTAAGACGCACACTTTTAGTTTGTGCACACGTTTGTCTCAAATGTCACTAAATGACTCCTCTAGAGGTTTCTTCTGGCCCTGAATCTGCAGCTCTGTTTTCCTGGAGACTTTGCGTGGATGTAAACTCACCTTCGCCGTTCCGTGCCACAGACAGCGCATCGCCACTCGCGCTCCATCGTGAGTGTGAGCCATGTAGACCACCGCCTCTCGGATGGACTCGATCATCTCCTGATGACGGCAAACGGGTCAGAGGTGAAAAAAAACAAAACACACACATCACAAAACGTCCTGAAACATCGTCAGGTTTCACCACAAGTCCTAAAAGTTGATTAAAATATCAAACTTATTGAGGAAAAGGATCTAATATTTCATGTGCGTGAGCTGCAGCAGTATTTAGTTGTCATATTGCACCACCTGCTGCAGCTGTATAACTATGTATGAATCCTATAAGACGATAAAGATGCTTACGGTTCTCTGTTTGTCCTGAGCAAACAGGAAGAAATCCAGGAAGACTTTGTGCACCAGAGAGTGTTTGATGACTTGTTCTCTGAAAAAAGGTAGAATTCAATCAAACTGAGTGGAAAACATGTGCAGCAAGTGAGTTTAAATCACAAAAGGTTACATAAAAAGGGAAAAGACTAAATTAAAATAAAACAGCAGCTGCATGTTTTTGCAGTTTCTTGTTTTCCATTTATTAAAGAATCCGACTTCATGACTAGAAAACTTTTGTAACTCGTCTGATTAAAATTCAAACTCAATAAAGCTTCCAAAGTAAATGTTAATTCATCCCAAATGTGGTTTTACTCACAATTAACATGAAAGTTCTCTGTTTTATGTGCTTCTTCTGTAACTAAACATCATTTATCCAGTAAAACATTCAACTATTAAATGTCCAAAAACAGAAAATGTTTGTAGTTTTGCTCGATAAATTATCCAAAACATGCTCGACTGATCAGAACAACTGCACTGATTCTGGCTCTTGTATCAACGAACAAATGCTGAGAAGATGTTTGATAAATTTAAATCTGTGTGTAGTCGTCCTCTGGTCTTACTTCTGAGCCATCGGTGTCAGAATCTGCTTCATCTCGTCGATGATGTAGTTCGCTTTGTCCGGATTCGCCTCCAGAACTTTGTCGATGGTGTTGCAGGCTGCAGACTGGACGCACAGACGCAGGAATGTTTTAATCAGGACGGTTCTTGTCTTTCTTTGCATTTTATATGTCGGAAAAGTGAAAAACCTGCTTCAAATCTGAGGAGGCAGGATCATTTCTGAGACTTGTCGTGATTTAAAAGTCTAAAAATGTGTAAAAGTATGTGTCCAGTGTGCAAAGTATTCTGTGAAAATGCGATCAAGATGCCGGTGACGCTTCAGAACATTCAGATGAAGTTCACCTTGCAGATGGTGAAGGTGTTTCCGTAGAGCTCGTCGCTGAGCAGGAGTCTCTGAGCGAGCACGGCCTTGTCGTTGTAGGCGTACTCGATGACGGAGGAGGCGGCGGCGTGGCGCAGCATCGTCTTCACGTGGCCTTTGAACGACTGGATGACGGCCGCCACCAGCTCCTTGTTCCTGCCGAGGAAATAAACCGACACACGGACCATCAGTCTGCAGGTAAACGCTGCTGCTGTGAGTCAAAAATGTCCTGAACGCCGACATTTATGAGGTGAAAGATGACGATTTCTTTCATATTTTAAGCAAGATTAAGTTTTTATTTCCATCTTTTACTGATAAAGAAAGAAAAAGTTTGGTCACTGTTTGCTGCACAGACGAGCAGAGAAGCTTCATTCAGAGTCTGAGAAACCTTCTAGAAGGTTTGATTTTCTCTTCTAGCAAACCTATGATCCGTTCTTTCTCAGTTTTAAGCTCTTAATTACATTAAAACTGAAACAAAAAAGGGTTTTGAAACTCTTCTGTTGCTTTGTGTGCATCAGTTATTTAAGAAAGTTGCTCAGGAGATAGTCGGGGAAAGTTTAAGGAGTCTGGAGTCTTTCTGAAGCTCTGAACTGTGACGCTTCATTATGAGGGTTGTGATCAAGTCCAAACCAGAGAGATCGAAGCTTTAAATTTAAACTTCTCCTCGAGGCGTGTTTCCTTTTTTTTCTCCTTTTCTTTTTGTACTCCAAAACTGCACAACAAAACTAAAAAAAATTAATAAATAAGGTTAAATCTTTATTTTTTGCTTTTTTCATCTGCAGGAACATGTGAGCAGCAGTGACGTGATCAGTTTATTAGTCACATCCAGATAGTTAACAAGTCTAATGGGAGAAATCTGCAGTAAATTTTCCTTCATGAAGGTTATTAGATTAACTTTTCAAGAAATGCTCATTAAAGTTTGTGAACCTTTTGCAGGATGTAGCAGCTCAACGCAAAGACGTGTTTCTGGTTTTCTGCTTGATTTAAATAACATGGATTAAACAGCAGATACAGGTTTATAGGCATAGACTGAAAGAGAAGAAGAAGAAGAAACCGTTTGGGTCTGACTCACCCGTACATCATCATCTTCTTCACCACATGTTTGCCGTACGGCGACTTGCACAAACCGATGACGTCGTCTGTAAAAGAAAGCAAAGGACAAACAGTAAATATCTCTGAAGGAGATTCTTGAATGAAGCCTCTGAGATCCTGATGGGATCAGATCAGTCCTAAACCTGGACTCTGGCAGTAATATTCTAACCCCAAAACTTATCAGAGGCGAGATTTATGTAAGAGATACAGAAAAGCTTTACTGTCAGTAAAACATTTTAAAGTATTTAAACGTTACATGAATGCAGCATCAGAGTCTGAACTCACAGTAACACTGTGAGCTGCAGGACTTTCAGATCTTATTTTCATTATTAGATTTTGTGCAAAACTATCCACCACATCTTTTTTTAAATCCAGCACTGCCACCAGATTGTTCTGAACTAACAGGCAGGTTTCTCTCTCTGGATATTTGGACATTTTCCAGACATTATCTGTGCACATCTAAGGCACAAAACACTGGTAGCTTCTCAGTTAATCTGTGCACAGTGAAGGTCACTACGATACGAGAGTCTCAGCAGCAATAACTGTTAACAAGCAGCAGACAAGGATTAAAAAAACACAACTCGCCTTTCAGGTCCTCAAACACTTCCTTCCTCTGCTCGTGGCTGCCGAACTGAATGAAGCACTGAAGCACTCGCACAGAGTCGTGAGCAAACGCCATCTGGAGGCAGGAAAGGAAAAACCACAAGATTTATAACAAAAAAACATGAAGAAATAAAATAAGAGCAGGTTTCTCTGTGCAGCCTGAAGACCTGAAATCTCAGCAAAACGATGAACAATCCTGCAAATATGTGACCCAAAATACTACAAACTGAAGCAGCCGGTTTGAAAAAGAAGAGTTCCACCGACAGAAGCTGCTGATGTGCAACGTCAAGCAATTAAAAATCTGCAGAAAACACGAGGCAGACGTTGAGATGCACCTGTTTGATCTTCCCTCGCATCAGATCGTGAAGGTTCTTCATCAGTTTCTTCTTCGTGTCTTCGTCACAGTTTTTCCTGTTGACAAAAAAACCATCATCTGTCAATGATCGCCAGTAGAAAGGACACATAAACCATGTTACACCTTCCAGGTCTGTACATGAGACAAAATCACCTCTAATTCCAACTTTCTGACTCTGTTTGTGTGTGTGTTTACGTGTGTTTACCTCCTCAGCTCTCCCCACACTTGTTTGGACTGACAGATGATCTCGAACATGTCCTTCCTCTCCGCCTGCTGCCGGCTCTTCTTCAGGTCTTTCTTCTTCTGCTGCCGGATCTTGTTCAGCTCCTCCTTCGTCAGCTCCTCCTTCTTTCCCCTCTTGGCCGTCGGACCTGATGGCACAGACACACAAAGGGAATCACAACCTGTGCACACAACTCCACTGTCAACAAAAAGACCAACACGAGCTGCCAGGAGCTGAAAACGGAAAAACGTCTGCAGAAACCAAATCAGAACGTGTTATGAATGTTTAAGGACAGAACAACGTAATAATGCTCTCATTTGTACGAGCTTCTGTCTTGTTTTGTGTTAATATAACAAGTGTTGAGGTAATAAAATGTACAAATATGCAGATTATATGTGCAAAATATCTTCATCTCAGCCTGTTTTATGCATCTCATGATTGACAGCCAGACTTTCCTGCCAGTTTAAAGGATTCATTTTAGGTTGTTGTTATGTTTTCTCACCTTCTCCTTCATCCTTAACTGTCGACATCTTCCTCTTCCCCAGCGCTCCTTTCCCACCTTTGGAGAAACCAAATTTCTGGTCTTTCTTGCCTCCATTTGCGCCCTTCCCCGGTCGGCTCTTCTTCTCTGAGTTGTTGTACGGCTTGAAGGGTTTTTTGCCGCCAGGTTTTCCTCCAAGTTTGGTCCCGATTGAATCTAAACGGAGCGAGACGCGTCAGAGATAAAGCTGCTTCAAAGATCACAGCGTGAGTATGTGACACGTGTTTTACCTTTTCCCTTCTGATTGAACTTCTTCCCAGCTTTAGGAGAAAAAGGCTTTTTGGATTTGGCTTCCATCCTGACGTGTGTCCGAGAAACAAACTGAGAGACGGAAACAAACAAGTTAGAAGAAAGAGCTCCGACATAAAGCTAGTGTAATCTATGCAAGTATCGTAAGTTAAATACTGGGCGAAGCTTACAGGTAAGTTTTAGTAGATCATAAATTGCATGTTGGTACAAAAGCAGATGGATTATTAACGAACAGGGCTGTTAAAAACATGTAAATGCAAAAAGATAAATATGAATGTAGGTGTAGGAGGTTCAGCATAAAGTTAGATTGTGTTTCAGATAAATCAGTCACAATGTTTGTTAGAAGACAACAACACAATGCAAAAACTTTTACAACACTGAGTGTCTAAAGCTTCCTGGTATCAAAATCCCAGCATCACCAACTATTCTATTCTATTAAACAATCCAACCATTAAGAATTTACACGTGTGGACCAGACGGTAACTTCTCTGATTATTCCAATCCTCTGTTATGTTTCTGTCACTGTACGGAAATTTATTAACCCAAATGTTTTCCTGCACAGATTTATAAACTCCACAATTAATAATGAGCGACAAAACATTTGAGGTCAGGATGAAGCATCACAGCTGTTTATACGTTTGTGTTTTCAGCAAATATTCCTCATTTTTTCTGGCAAATAAAGTGCATTATGAGACATGGGACTGATTTAATCAGTTAACAACAGACAGTCAGCAAACTGATTACACTCAGCACTTAAGTTACTGCAGATAATTTAATTGGGCCAATGCAAAGAAATGTTTATTTTAACAAACGTCAGTGATGTCAGTGTTTCCTGAACCATCAATTAAATACGAATAATCCTAAAATGATAACAGATCTCCCACCACAGTGTATTCGGTGAACTTCTACCTTTAGATTCAATTAACATGTTTCATCCAGAAAGTATACATACATACAAATAAAGTAAAACAAACATGACAGTGTTCTGGCTTTTCCTTGGAGGTAAATGACTGTTTAGATCTTTTTATTTTGAGACATCTGACTCTGAAAATAAATTTAGTTAATATTCACAAAATCCAACTGCAACACGTCCTTCCAGGAGCAGAACCGTCACTAGTCTGGACAATCCACACCCACTATGAACTCTATGTGGACAGTTTCATAAAGTATTTCTGTCTGTCATTTCTACTGTTTGCAGTCTGATCTGTGAGCTCTGACCTTAATTTAACCTCTGATTTTCAGTAAATGTGACCCTGTACATGCATCATGGACCATTTAAGGACACGTTGTCATTCGATGTCTTTAATCTGCTAAATGTTATTTTTAAAAATCTGACTTTTTAAAGTGTTGAAGTCGAGCTACACCTTCAGCTGTGGCCACAAGAGACATTGTCAAAGCACAACAAGCCTCTGAATAAGCGTATTTCACGTTTGTTTATTGTTTTATTTATTCTACTGGTAATAATTAGTTTGATTTTACGTTCTAATGCAACACATTTATTTTATTTCTTATCAGTTTGTGACTGTTGTCGCTACTTCTACGTGGCTAAACTGTTTGGGTTCATCCTCTGATGCTAGTTAGCCGCTAGTTAGCCGCTAACACACACAGCAAGTATCAGAAACCGTGAATATAAAAACACAAACAACATGATAGAATAAAATAAGAAGATTTACAACGTTTTTACTGCGCAAACTTACATTCCAGATGCACACACACGCTTGATCAGCTCAGTCCCATGCGTTCTGTGGACGGCACGATTTACGGCACAGCGGACGTCCAATCAAACTGAACGGACGCTGCCGTAAAACGTACGCCGATGTTGCGACACCTTCATAGCGCAAAAACGTAGGATAAAATCAAATTTTACCGATTATACATGCTCATATTTGAATATTAAGATCATTACAGGAGTCCAGCAGTTTAGCGACAACAACGTGCTTCGGTTTCTGTCGGTCTCTGTCGCTCTTCACGACTTTAAAGCAGCCATGTTTGTTTACAGGCAGGATTTAAAGGGACAGAACAACAAAATGCCGAGTTGACGCTTCGTAACCTTTAAAATACGTAATTTGTGAAGTGCTTTTTAGTCCGTTTCATTTATCTATGCTTGATACAATTATATTTTGTGGTTTCAGTACAATTTACTGTGTTTGATGTTTGTTTAAGTAGCTCATCAGACGCTGAGAACTACGTTACCCATGAGGCTTTGCAGCGACGTGGCTTCCTTGTTGCCTGGCAACGTCCTAAAACAGACTAGGGGCGAAATTACCGAAAGTAGAGGGTAACAAATTACTTTATAATAAATAAGAATTAGCTTGATAAACTATCGCTGCTAGCTTAGTATTTTGTCTTGTTGTCACTTTCACAGTTTAGCGGCAGTTTGTTCAAATTTAAAATACCGTTTTAACCATATATTCTTCTGTTAGTTTTACACATTAAAAAGTCGAAATGTCTGAAGAAACCACAGTTTGTGTTGCTGAAGAGGCTGAGAACAAACAAACGGGCTCACAGGACAACACAGAAGGTAAAGTCTGACTGTAAACCACGTTAACGTTCACATAGTATGAATGCAAACCACATGTACCAACTAGAAACTGAGGAATAAAGTATAAGTGTGCATCCTTTTAAAAGAAATTAAGAAAATATTTTGAATTCTGAAGCAAATTAAGATAAATAAGCAGCAGAGATGGCAGTTAAAAAGCTGAAATAATAATCTTCAGAAGCTTTATTTTAAATGTGACTGAAGTAGAAACAGGTACATCATCAGAGTTTAAATGAACAAAACCATGAGTCAAACACATATTCAGTCATAACCAGATGTGCAGTTGGATCATTGGGATTTCAGATCCATCAAACGATAACTCAAAGGTGGGAGTTTTCAAATGCCACGACACCAACAACATGTCAGAAACACAGGAACTACACACACGTATTTGCTTTCTACAGTGGAACAATCCACATGTTAAATAGTTGGTGAGTAAAAGCTGCTCTCCTCCTCCTCAGGATGTGATGCTGGAGACTCGGTGATGCAGCTGGAGGCTGAAGGAGAATCACAGAAGCAGCAGCTTCCTGCAGACATGTTCTACAAATACGAGGAGCTTCACTCCAGACCGACCGTCACGGCCGACTCCGAGATCCCAGAGAACCTCCTGCACCTGTCGTATCCTTCTGTTCCAAAGAATTTAATAAAAATAAAAAAAACATTTCGCTGTCTCGCATTGTAAATAAACATCCACAATTATTACAATAATTACACAGACGTTCAGTCTCAGTTTGCATTTTATTCACAAATAAATCTACTCCTTTAGTACTGAGAATAAACTCTGTAAAGAACTTTCTAGTCCTTCAAGGCAGAAGTCATAATTTGCTCAATTTCACATGTCTTTTTTCTTTCACAAATGAAAATAAAACTCCAGCTTGCGTTAAGATAAGATAAGATAAGATAAGATCAGCCTTTATTTATCTCACAGTGGAGAAATTCACGTTGTTGTTAGTAGCATTAAACACAGAGATACACACATACGAGACAGACAAAAGACAAATAAATTAAGTCAAATTAACTTGGTAATTAGTAATCATTTACTGGTATTTGTCTCATAAGTGCCAGTAACACAAGAATTAAGAAAGTGAGTAAGTGAGAAATGAAAGAAATTAGAAGAATCAATATTTTAAAAAGTACAATTTTTAAAAATGTATAAATGCAATATACACGCTACCATCTTTCATATATTAAAATTCTGCACGTATTTCCATTTATTATGTGTGTAATATTTTAAATAGGGGTATAAAGCAGGTACATTATGTACTGTATCAAAATACACCAACACCCCCCTTAATATTGTGTAGGGACTAATTGGTATATATGATATTAACATTTTTTAAAATTGCAGTATAGTAGAAAAACAGTATTATTCTATTATGGTTTAAGAACGTAGATGTGTTCGATAAGTCACTGCTAATAGTAGTACTTACATAGTAATAGTGAAAATAATATATATCATGTAATAAAAGAAAGTATGTTGTTGTAAACAAGCAATTTGATATTCTTATTCTTATTATTCTTATTCTTCTTATTGTAGAACTTTTGGTGACATAATAAAATAATCTAAAATAAATCTTGTATACAGCTTCAGTGACTCTGTATAATGTGGATCCTTCACTCGTCCTGCGTTCAGTCACTCCTTCGGTTACGACAGCAGCCGCAGGTCAAATCTGAAGCTGCTCGACGACAGAACTCTGATGTTCGTGGCGGGAAACCTGCTGGTTCTGCTGGACATTTCCACCGAGGAGCAGAAGTACCTGAGATCCTGCAGCGGAGGAGGAATCGGCTGCATCGCGGTAAGAAAACTGACAAACTGTAAGTCGTGGAGGCGAGGAGGAGCACTGATTCTGAAGTTTAAAATATATTTGATGAGAAGCTTTTATTCCTGAGTTTGTGAGTCTAAGTAAAAGTGAAACATCTTTTACTTATTAATCTTCTACTCAAGTGCAAAATGTAGTTTTTAGTCTTGACCAGGCCTCGATTCATGTGTTTGTGATCAATATATGTGATCATGTGATGTGAGAAAAGAGGTAATTGACTACACTGATTAAAAAATGCTTTTGTTAGAAAGTCGTCAACAGTTGTCTGACTACAGTTTGCTAGAAAAGCAAAAATAAATACAAAAATGTTTTATTTTTAACTCCAAACCTTTGACGGACATATGGACGTAAAGCAAAAACACAATCCTGTCATTGCTAACGCTAACCCACATGTTCACATCTTTGTGTGTCTGTGTTGTAGGTCCACCCGAGCAAGAACTACTTTGCCGTCGCAGAGAAAGGAAACCAGCCCAACATCATAGTCTACGAATATCCTTCCCTCAGACCGTACCGAATCCTCAGAGGTACACGTGACCAGCACTCACAGTTGTTATTTCACATTACTGGCTGCTCATGCTTGGACCTGCCTGCCTGTAGGTGGCACCGAGCTCGAGTACAGCTTCGTGGACTTCAACCGTGACGGAGGCCTGCTGGCCAGCGTGGGCGGCTCGCCCGACTACATGCTGACTCTGTGGGAGTGGAGGCAGGAGGAGGTGATGCTGAGCTGCAAGGCTGTTTCACAGGACGTCTACAGGGTCGGCTTCTCCCCGTACGACCCGGGACTGCTCACATCGTCGGGATCCGCACACATCAAGTAAAAGACATACCGAGTGTTTAAACACTGTAACCACATAAACACAGCTGTGGTTTGATTGTATTTTATCTCTATGGCACCTTTTGAAACCAGACTTTACAAGAACGCAACATTAAAACATAAAAAAACAAATGCAGGTGGGTTTTTAGATGCTTTCTAACCTGAGGCATTGACTGAGCTGCTCTGACAGAAAGTTGTTCTGACAAGCTGAAGTAGCAAAAACATGTTCCCCCTTTGTTTTAAGCATCTACTGTGGAAATCCATTTCCTGACTTCAGAGGGTCGCGTTACAGAATAAAGGCTAAAACACTTTGCTGCATTGTTTAATCAAGTGACGGATGAGTAGTTCAATGGTTAAATTCAAAGAGCTTTCTTGCTAAATGTTCGGTGGGAAGGTCAGTAAACTTTACAAGCCTTTAAGGACCTGCTGCCAAGAAGCATCCCCACATGATGATGATGCCGCCGCCATGCTTCACTGTGTGGATGGTGTGTTTATGATGATGTGTGTTGTTTCTAGTTTCATCAGAACCAAGAACCTTCTTCCACTTGACTTCAGAGTCTCCCACAAATTAAACTGACTATTAATCAATGCTGACAAACTATAGAATAGAAAAATAAACTTGTGAGTACCCTTTATTGGCAGTGGGTGTTTTTGTTTTTGTTTTCTTTCTGGACTACTTGAGTCTTATTGTTACCTAAATGCTGCTAAGCAATTAGAAGCACCTCCAGGAAACAGTTTCTCGAGGCGGAGATATCTTCCAGTAAACAACACTCCCATTAAAACGTCTTTTCTTTGTCAGGTTCTGGAAAATGGCGCCCACGTTCACGGGCCTGAAACTGCAAGGGGTTATGGGACACTTTGGGAAAACCGCGGCGACTGATATCGAGGGCTTCGTGGAACTTCCTGATGGAAAGGTCTGTGTGCTGCTGATGTGACAGTTTGGGTTTATAGAAGTCTGGAAATCCATCTAACCACACATGAGCTACACGATAACCGTAGCATGCCAACATGTTTATACTGACAGTGCTAACATGCTAATATTTATCAGCTATCAGTGTGTCGGCCCAGTTTAATAATTAACACGAACCACAAAGTACAGCTGAGATTAATGAGACCGTCACTTGATTTGTGGGTATTTATTAGGACATGAAAGTGTTCATAAAAATGTTGATCCGATGATGGATCACCAACAGTATCGTCATTCATCCTGAGCGGATAATGAAAGTGTGTAGAAAATGTCACGTCATGGTGATCCATCTGGAATTTTATGTTGTTTTATTGCCAAAAACAATAAAATAACACAGAGCTAAGCCGACTTGGCTGAAATATACATTATAATTTTCTAGATTTACGATGCTTCGGTTTTCCAGTTAAGTTTAATTTAACCTCATTACTGGTCCTGGTATTCTTGTAAATCTTAAACATGTTGCAGTAAACAGTGAATTCTTTGTGTAGAAGAATTTTGATAAAGAAATGCATTAATATTAACAATAAGATGATTCAAATCCAGACATCAGGGTTCATGAACAGTACAGCTGCAGGTTAAAGAGTTATTTTTGTTCACGTCATCTCTCTACAGGAGCTTTCAATCACATCAATTTTCCATTTTTTCAGTTCGTGTTGTTTAAGTTTGCGTCATACAAATAAAATCTCTGGTTGAAATCAAGTGTTGTTTTCAAGATAAAGATTGAGCTTCCAAACATCTGTTTCATTCAACAATCCTCTGTAAGGAAAGAGCTGGTAGTCACTGGTCTGACTTGGTTCCTTCCTCTCAGGTGGTGTCGGGCACCGACTGGGGAAACTTGCTGCTGTGGGATGGAAACACCATCAAGGTGGAGATTTGCTGTAAGGATGGACGGAGCTGCCACAGTGGGACGGTTCAGCCGTTTGCTGTGGAGGACGGACAGCTGATGACGTTTGGTTCGGACGGAGTGATCCGGGTAAGACTTGCCTCTAAATGACATCCTGGATTCTTTCTAAATGAACAGTGAACATCCAGACATCCGCTGTGACTGAATATCTGCAGAGAGCAGCAGTATTTACCTCTAACACATTATCACATTATATGGATATTATACAGAGTTCTGTGGTCAAAGATGTATTGATCTGCAGTCTTATGCACAAGTTAAGACAAGGCTCCATCATTCGCTTCACTTCTGAGAAGCAAACCAAACGTCCTAAAGGGAGCATGACTTAGAGTTTCATATATCACTAAAAAAGGCCCATTAATTTCCCAAACAGCTAAATCATTCCTATTTAAATCTTGTTAAAACAGTTTCCGCTCAACCATCTCTGATTTGCAGGAATTTCTTGTAGCATCAAATATGGATTTTTATAGACATGTTTGTGAAATTTTAGCGACTACTTCCCGAGATAACAAAAAAACTTGTCTGTTGATATTTTTTCACACATTAAAATTTGAGTCTGTTTAACTTTTTTTTTTTTCATCATAAACTGTGAAATTTCAGCTCCTTTTTTTTCGCCCAAATTGAAATTTGAGGCTTTTTGAATGTCAATTTCTCAGGAACTCTACAAAATAAAAGCCTGAAATTTTCACTGTTGTTTCTCATCATGTCATTGATTCAGAATCTGCAGTTTTGGACAATTAGATCAAATAATCTCTGATTATAGATGAGTTGAAATATGGAAGAAAAAAAGAAACTGAAGCCATTGCAAGATATCCTCAAATTTCAATGTGCAAAAAAGAAAGTACAGAAAGTGGGTCAGTGGACTTTTTTTTTTTCTTCTTTTTTAAATGATGTTAACTCTGAAATAAGGCGACTCTTCCCTGCTGAACTGTTTGGCCCCATCATTGCTGCTTGCAGCCATATTTTGTTTTATTTTTTATTTTTTCCAATGCAGTCGTCTTTCTGGAGTCTGAAAACACACAAAATAATTTGACAAATATGTCGACATGAAGAACAACAAGGAGAATGCAGTTTGTTTTACGTCCAGTATGACTTTGTGATCCTCCCTGCAGGGCTGGGACTTTGAGAAGATCATCTCGGCCGACAGCGACGGCAGCAGGATGGAGATGGAGCCGACCAACGAGATGGCGGTCGGACACAACGTGTGCCTCTCCTCGGTGGCTCGGAGCACCGAGACCGACTCCTTCGTCTGGTTCGCTCAGGTCAGAACACAAAACATCTTCACTTGAAAGTGTTTGTAACACACCATCAGGCATCACATTGATCCTGAACTCTGTGTGGTTTTGTAGGATTCAAATGGAGCCATCTGGAAACTGGATCTGTCATTCACCAACACGGTGAGCTTGTACACCATCACTTTGGGTTTTTAAAGAGACATCACATAGTCCACATGTCTAATGTATTTAACTGGGCAGACTGTTGATTAATTAAGTCAAAAACTGTTATATAAAGTTATCATTGCAGTTATTTAAATTGAGGTAAATGTGAGTGTTCCACAAATCAACCTGACACAACATGAGAAATGCAGTACCTAGCAGAGGAAGGCAATAATATAAAAATAAACGTCACATTATCAAAAAAAAAAATAGGTAAGCTAACAAAAAAAAGACTAGAATCCAAGAATTATCAAGTAATACTGGCAATGATACTGAGGTTGTAAAGTATCACACATAATAATAAACATATTGCACATTTAATTGAGATAGTAGACGTGAAATCAAAATATTGCTCCATAAAAAAATGAAATATTGCACATGAAATTAAAATATTAGATATTAGCCTAAAATCTTGCACATAAAATTGTAATTTTACACATGATGCCCTGACTGATACAGCCCAAACTATTGAGTAAATTAATGTTGCAAATGCTTTAAAATTGTCTTTTCTGAATATAATAGAAAATAATGCACATGGAATTAAAGCATTGCACAAGAAAATGAATTGTTAAACATGATGCTGAAACAGCCATTGCACAAACTATTAGGAAGACCAATACTGCAAACGATAGGTTATATATATGTTATGTTGTGTGTCCCTAATGGAAACCACGTTGCTCTGCTGTGTGTGGTTGTAGTTCGGTGAATCATTATATCATCTGTCCTGCAGACTCCTGATCCAGAGTGTCTGTTTACCTTCCATTCCGGGTCGATCCAAGGCCTGGATGTGTCCAAGAAATCCCACCTGATGGCCACGACCAGCCTGGACCGTCAGTTCATTCACACCTGCTCATGTACAGTTTGAGTTTTCGTGTACTGTCACTCAGTACTACGTATGTTTCTGTCTCCAGGCTCAGTCAGAGTTTTTGACTTCGTGGCCAAAAGAGAAGTGACCAGCAGTCGCTTCAATCAGGGAGGAACTGCTCTCCGCTGGGCTCCACCGCTGGTAAAGACTGATGCATAAATCATTCTCACACGAACATCAGAGGACAGACTTTGACTCCTGCAGCTCTGGTGTTTGTCTGCAGGTGAACCAGACCGGAGGTTTGCTGGTGGCCGGCTTCGAGGACGGCGTGGTTCGATTGCTGGAGCTGTTCACTGCTCCGAGGCTGCATGCGGTCGCCGGGAGAGACTCCAAGCTGCGCCTCAAACAGGCCTTCAAACCCCATAACGCTCCCGTAACCGCCGTGGCCTTCGAGCGAAACGGAGAGATCCTGGCCACCGGGGTAAGAAACTCTCCAGGACGACGGCGTTTATCCCCGCAGGAGTTCAACTCTACAGCTCCACAGGAAGCAGCAGTTTGTCAGAATGATGCTTGTTATTGTGCTTCTGCTGTGTTCACGGAAACACCAGAAATCTTGGGTTTTGAAATAGTTTCTAACAGCAGTTGAAGTTTCTGAAGTTGTTACACCTAATTTAACGTGTTAAGAAGTCGTAGGGTTACAAATATTAGATTACTGATAAGATAAGCCCACTGGTGGCTTGTGTTCCAGCTGCTTCTACTCATAAAGCACAAGAAAGTACCGATGTTGGTGAGGCGAGGATGAGTTTCGGTAACAAATACAACCTTGAACATCCATCCATCCATTATCTATACACCACTTAATCCTCACTAGGGTCGTGGGGGGCTGGAGTCTATCTCAGCTGACTCAGGGTGAAGGCAGGTTCACCTGGACAGGTAACCAGTCTATCACAGGGCTACACTTAGAGACAGACAACCAAGCACACTCACATTCACACCTACGGACAATTTAGAATCACCAGTTAACCTCAGCATGTTTCTGGAGTGTGGGAGGAAGCTGGAGAACCCGGAGAGAACCCACGCTGCACGGGGAGAACATGGAGACTCCACACAGAAAGATCCTGGGTGTCCTCACCGGGACGTGAACCGGCGACCTTCTTGCTGCGAGACAACAGTGCTAACCACTGAGCCACCTTGCAGCAACCTTGAACATTTTTATTTTCTTCATCACTCAGAGTGTTTACTTTGGAAGAAGAAACTGAAGATTTATGAGCTGCTTAATGTTAAAATGTGTGAAAATCTCTCTCGTGAATTCAAACTTCTTCATAAACACAAGAATCGGTGCAGTTTCTGATATCAGTATTTCTACTCATGAAAGAATCTGGGTAATATTATTGTCTTTTAATAGTTTAACACATGCAAAGTTGTTATTTTCCACATCCAGAGAAACTTGTGCAATCTCTGAATTTCCACATATGGAAGAATCTGTACAATATTAACAGTACTTATGTATTATGTTTGCTTTTTATTTTTTTCTAATGATGTTTCTTACATGTTTGAATCTTCCCCTTTGCTGCTGCAGTAAAGATCCCCACTGTAGAATCAGTAATGGCTCAGTTAAGAATGAAAAATTCGATTAAGAATGTTAAATGTCAGTCACCAGTTTACAGTTTTACATTTTATGTCACGTCTGAACATAGAGATGAATGGACGAGATGTGAAAACTGCTGCAGGAGGAGTTTGGCAAATATCTACAGACACTTTATTAATCAGGAGTTTTGTTTTGCTGTTCATCTTCACCTTCCTGCTCAGAGTTCAGACTCCACCGTGTTCTTCTTCACCGTCGGCGGGAAGTACAACCCCATCGGTTTCGTCCATGTTCCGGGGCCGGTGCAGGCGCTGGATTGGTCGCCTCATTCCCACGTAAGTCTCACATCTGGGATTCACCTGAGACGCCACCCAGATGTAGTTTAACCCCCGTTTTTACACTTTAACGCAGAGTGAAAACCGGCTGCTCGTCCTGTGTCAGAGCGGCCACGTGGTCGAAGTCCACAGTCCTGAACCGGACGCCCAGAAACCGACGACAACCTTCCAGCTGCCCGACTTACCCAGAAGGTCGTTCAGGTTCAGGAGCATCAAATCCAGAATCAAGGTTTGACCTTGCTCCGTCTCACATGAATAAATCCATGCATTTATGTGGCTGTGTTGCATTATTCTGTGTTTTGTTTGTTATCGACTATGACTGCAGCTTGAAACTTCTACATTTGAGGGATTCGTGTTTGCGTGTTTCAGAGAGACGAGGAAATCGCAAGACGTCAAGCTGTGAGGAAGAAACAGAGAGACGAGCGTTTGAAGAAATCAGAGCAGCTGGATGCAGAGAAAGAGGAAGATGAGGAGGAAGAATTACCGCCCGTCTACATCCCAGATCCTCCAAGTCCTCTGTACTGTGGCTTCTACTCACTGCCTGGACACTTCTGGCTCTCCATGGTACAGACAGACAGTTAATGTTGAGAAACTGATCAATTAACACTGATTCAGTCATACGGGGGAATCACAGAAAACATAAACTTGTTTCTTGCACTTGCAGAAGCAGAAATGAGCTAGAATGCAGTGAACAACCAAGTTTTTGCAATCAGTGTCTCACCGACATGTTAAAGTCACAAAGTTAAAGGTATCGGACCTCAAATGAAGTGTTTCTGACGGATTAAAAATGGTTCCAGACGTGTTAAATGTTCAGTGAGATTAGCAGACAAACCGTGCATGACAACTACGTTCCACTCTCTTACTATTTTATTGTACTTTTTTTGTTTAAGTATGTGAATACAGCACCCTCTTACTAAGCGATCGGTAGATTATGATTAGAAACTCATCCACGAGTTGCTTTACTGTTTCTGCTCCCCACAGTGAAAATAAAGAGAAACTGATGAAAAATCTTAAATTGGTTGAGATGATGGATGAGCAGATGACACAAACATACTGTAAACTCTAGAATAACCTTATTTAAAGCAACCAGTGGCACATATTTTGTTTTTTTACTGGCCCAGACTGGAACAGAGTTCGTCCTCCTGATTGGTTGTCGTGTCCAAATCGTATTTATAATTGGCTCAATCATTGCTGTATGTGTCTTTATAGTGTTGGTGTGCATGTTTTGATATTTATTAGAAGATTATGGTTTGTATTTGATGATAGAACATCAAGAAAACTGATCAGACATTCAAGTAGCGTTGCTATAAAGGTTTTGTAACCTCAAGAATTTCCTTTGAGATTTATAAAGTCTGGTCTTTAATATAGAAAAAGAGGATCTGAGGATGGATCTTGTTTCTTGACTGAATCCATGTTTCTCTCGTCTCTCTCCTGCAGGGAGGCTTTGATTCAGGATGTTTGTATCACTGTAAGTTCTCAGAGAATCAGGATGAAGATCCAGACCAACGGCAGGACGAACCCTTTGACTTTCTACCGATCGATGACACAGACGACGACCCGATTCGCTCCGTCACCTTCAGGTTGCTGAAAGAAACTCTTCTGGTTCATGGATTTGGTTTAGATTCATCTGCTTTGTTTTGCACAGAAGCAGACAGCAGCATATAGTTCAGTATCTGGCAGATACTGAGTGAGAAATCTGTCTCGGGAGCTGATGGAGACCAAACCAGAGCTAAGAGATGTGACTTTTCATGACTGAATTGATTTTTTTTTCATATTTCAACTCACCTATAACCAATGATTATTTGATCTGCTTGTCCAATATTGCAGATTGACATGATGAGAACTGACAGAGAAAATTTCAGGTTTTTATCTTTCATAGTTCCTCAGATGTTCAAAGAGCCTCAAATTTCAATGTGAGAACAACCTGCTGAAAGAGGGTCAACTGGCAGTTTTTGTATTTGACACCAAAAATTTCACAGTTACCACTATAACCATCCACAGCTAATGATAAAACAATTTAAATCAAATCCATGATAATCGACCAGGAAGCCCCTGATGACTTAGGATTGGAACAACCCACCAGTTTAACCTGTTTAAGGCGGTATTTGGGGTTTTGCAGCTCCAACAGGCAGCTGCTGCTCTGCGGGATGCACTCGGGCTCCATCAGGGTTTATCCTCTGCAGCCGGCCGACCCCGGCCTCTCCTCCATGAAGGCCTGCTGGAGTCTCAGCGTCCACGACAGCTGCTACGGCCACCTGCGACACATCCGCTGCAGCCACGACGACCTGTTCGTTCTGACGGCCGGAGACGACGGGAACATCTTCTCCTTCAGCCTGCTGCCTCCGGAGGAGCTGCAGAAAACCCTGCAGAGGAAGACGGCCAAAGTGGCCTCACCCAGGGTCAGAACGCTTTTATTAATTCTTTCTTTTAGCGTCTGTTTAGTGATACAAGTTGTCGCTGTGTGGTTAAATATTTTCAGTATTAGGACTCAATGGAAGGAAGTTTCATGTGGCAAATATAGTCTGGACCAAACAAAGGGTTCTTTTGCAAAAGTTAAGTGTGACAGTTTGAATGTATGCTAACAAGATGAGTGAATATAATCGTACAGCAACAAAGAACTTGTCAAATCAGTTTTTAATGACAATCTCAAATGCAAACAAATGCAAAATGGCATAAAACATATAGAAAATCACTTTTGTTCTTTATGTTAACCGTCCACGTGAGGTGTTTACAGGTGTCTGGTCACATCAGCAGGTCTTTTTCCCTTTTTTGTGACTGACTTAATTTTTATTTAATCTACCACACACACAAATAAAAACTCTTGCTACAATCGCTTCCTTAATGGATTTTTCTCAACACTATTATAAAAGGAAATGCTTTATTTAATGTTGATACAACTTTCCATACCGGTTGTCTCAAAACCACAATCCTCAAACTACATAAAATCACAGTAACATCAGTGTGGCTCGTACAAAGAGAAGAAAAACAACAACAAGTGCGATACAAGAAAAACAGGCGACTAAGGTTCAAACATCTGACCATCTTTCAATAAACCTGCCTGTTTTTCTCGTCTTGCTGTGTTTTCTATGATAAAGTCAGAGCCATGAAGCTGTTATCAGTTTATTTGTTATTAAAAGCAAAATTCTCAGTAGAGAGATCAGGTCTCTGTCTGCATCTGTCTTATTGTTTGGTGTTGTACTTGGTATAAAGCTCTCTTGTTACATGTTTAATCTTTAATCAGGAAAAATTAAGAGTTTATTGATGATGTTTGTAGTTATGCATGTGGATGAAAATGTGATATTATCTTGTTAGCACGTTGCTCAGGTTGGTCTGGAGAACGAGGCGTTAGCTCTGGACATTGAGGATCCAGCAGCTTACAGGTAAATGAAAGTTGTTCTCGTCTTCCTCTGCGTCAATTTTCTTTTCTTTCCGACTTTCTATACTAACTATTTTAGCAGATATTGTATAATAATATTGTATTTTGCATGTGGATTTTCAGAGTTTTTTATTCTGAAGTTGTAGCTCTGGTGAACATCTGAGAATCTACTGTTTTTGGTGTCACTGCGACTCAACAAAATCCTGAACGTGTCGCCTCTTCTGACTTCCTAACCTCCAACCCGAACCCCTCCAGCATAGAGATGGCCAAGCAGAAGCTGGAGAGCGACCACCTGCGTCGCGAGACCGAGCTGAAGGTGGCGGAGAAGCAGAAGAAGCTGACGGAGCTGCAGAAGAGGTTTAAACAAGTGCTGAGCGACAACCAGAGTCTGCCGGAGCATGTTCGTCTGAAACCTGAGGTACAGACGCAAACACCTGAGTGCAGCATCCTCATGTCTGATAAATCATCTGGTTTGACTTTAAACTTGCTCTAATCTAGTTTAAGGAGGGAATCTTCCACTAAAAAAGACTGTAACTGTAGATTTCCATGTGATTTATAAAGCATAGCCTCCTATAAGCTTCAGTTTTTAAACTGTTTTTGCACCAAAACTGAACTGAAAGCTGATTTGGAAGGACAAGACAAGGTTAGAGTCATGCATATTGTTGTTATTTATGTGAATAAGTTAAGGGTTTATGCTAATTCAGTGTCCTGAACTGTGTGTGTTTGTAGGAGCTGCAGCTGGACCGGCGTTTCTACGAGCAGGCAGAGCGGCTGAAGGCTCAGCGGGCGATGGAGGTCAGGAGGCAGCTCTGCTGGGAGCAGGAACGCTGCAGCATCGCACTCAGAAAGCTGCAGGACTGGTACATGCACGCCAACCAAACATCAGGATATGCACAGATAATGCTGCAGTCCTCATACCTTTCCCCAGCAGAAACAAAGCTGCTGTCAAATCTGAACACACTGACACCAAATAGCAGAATGAAGCACATATATGTCTGTTTAGGAATCATAGATATTGTCTCTACACGGCGAACAGGAACTGCTAGAAGCTAAAGCAGCAGAACTTTTACTGACACAGACAGTAAAATAGGCCGTAAGCTAAGGGAGTACGCTCAAGTCTAACATTAAACTGTCCACATCCTCAGTAACGTTTCATAGTTCTCCATATTAGTTGATTTAAACTGAGTAGTTGTTATATAGTTATTGTTGTGTTACTTGATTTTAATTGCAAGATAATTAAACATAAGTTTTGTGTAAGAAAAAGTTCATACATTAAGTTTTGCTGCACGCTCCAGACAAGTTTAGTTTCACTGTTTTGGTGGCAAAGAACGTTAATAAACCATCATCCCGTCTTTGGAGTTGTGAGTTGTTACTGAATCTTGAGTTGAGGTGTTGATGTGATTATTTTTAACTCCTGTGTGTTTCCAGGTTCAGAGACTCTCTGCAGGTCACTGTAGTGGCCATCCGGTCCAACCACAAAGTCTCCACCTATCGGCTGCAGGCGCCCACCGAACCTTTGTCTCGTCAGAACTCACCTCATCGGCCTCACGGAGACGGAAACGCTGCACCAGAACGCAGGAGGTCCAGAGCAGAACCTGCAAAAGAGAGCGGCAAAATAGAAGGTGAGGAAGTGTCAGAGTGTTTGTTTCACCTGTTGTCTGGATCCGAGTTATCACCTGTGTTTGATCTGCAGAGGAGGAGGCGATTCGGCCTCCGGTGCCTCGAACTACAAGGGTTAAACTGGGAGATCGGCAGGAGGAGAGGCTCCGGAAGGCTGCAGAGAAAGCTGCGCAAGCCCGAGCCAGAATAGAGAAGAAAAAACAGGAGTGGGATCAAATGTGAGTGGCCTCAAACATCAACCAGATTAAGCCACAAGTGGAGTCTAAAATGAACCATAGCTGCTGGGATGCTGGTGTGAAACTGGACTGTTGGTGTGTCAGTTACGCAGAGAAGCCGAACGAGGACTACGAGGATCCGCAGGACGTCGAGGCCATCAGAGAAGCTCAGGAGAGCATCGGAGACGTGGCGATGGCGAAACAGCCGAGGATAAACACTGAGACGAAGAAAGAGGAGCTGATCGCCTTGGAGAGAAATGTACAAACTCACACATCCATCTCAAATCATCCAAAACAAACGCTCACAGCTCATATTAAAAGAATTCTTTCTGTTGTCTTTGAACACGCTGATGTAGTTTCATGTACGTACAGACTTGGTGACGGCTTAGAGAGACAAAAATGCAAACTTTTTTATGTAGAATTTGTTCATGTAGAAGAGAAGTTCTGTGAAGGAAACGAGGTTAACTGATTTTTTTTTTCTTAAAATTTTACTGGTCAAAGTTTAGAGTGGGTCACAGGGTTTTCAACACAACTGTACAAGTTGCTACCAAAAGACACTCGTTTTGATGTATAGTTTAAATGGGTTTTCTCAAAGCTGTGGGAC